CGAGGACACTGTTATCGTTTCCAGGCTATGAAATCTTCGTGTGGGCGATTGGAAAGAGTCAGTCAAGCAGCGCCCAGAAAGAGTTGGAATGCATTATCAATAATTTCTTATTAAAATAGAAATCTGTATGTTTACGAAATAAAGACAGGAAATTAACGAGGACACTGTTATCGTTTCCAGGCTATGAAATCTTCGTGTGGGCGATTGGAAAGAGTCAGTCAAGCAGCGCCCAGAAAGAGTTGGAATGCATTGCCAACGACGCCAACCATATATTTAAGATCGACACGTTCAGCAATGCGGTAGAAGTGACCAAACGTCTACGCGCACTCTTTTATAATTAAATTTACAGTCGAACTGGATTTTGCTCAGTCGAATCGCTTCCAGCCATTTATACTTTTAGCTATTTATATTTCTATCGCTATTTATACTGAGACTAATAATGTAAAGGCATAGACATAATCATTTGTATGTAATGGCGTTTCTTATCATAATGCTGAATATTAGTCTGTATTTGTATTTTAAAAATTTGTGCGAGTCCCGCTGTCTGTGCGGTTAAACGTGCTTGATGCCGATATATCTATGTCTATCTATATATATAACTATATCTTTATTATGAATAAATCTATTCATTTCTAATCTACCATGTATAGTCTTTTTATCTGGGGAAATATTACCGGGGTCCAATAGTTATTATAGAATGATGTCAAAACTGTAGCATCAGAGGGTTTCTAGGGGGTGGTAAAGGACGAAATTGCGTGCGCTCTTCGAGAAATAACGATGACGTATGTAGGACCCGAATAGGCCAAAAGAATAAATGCTCAATTACCTATTCCGTTTATGTGAGGCGGTTAAATTTGACACGTAATGGTGTGATTCAGGTGTGCATAAATGGGTAAATGGGTAAAAAGAGCCATGACTTAACCGCGGTAAAATTATAGCCTTTTTTACCCAATCAGAGGCCTTGTTACACATAATTTAACCGCGGATAAATTGTTTTTACCGCCGTAACTACGCTTAAACGTACCTGATTGGAGGCCAATTTACAAAGCCCCTGATTGGAGAAAAAGAGTTAAAACTTAACTTAACTTAACCGCGGTATAAATAATTATTTCTGAGTACGACGGCAAACCATAGTCGCGGGTCGTAAAGGAATTACATTAATATAGCTATTTACAGCTATTATACTATAGTTACTAATACATTTGCGTGCACGTAAATAGGAAACACGTACAGTATGAATATAGGATCGACTTTTCTATGCGTCATACGAAAAGTTTATTCTAAACGGCACCGTATTGGGCATTATCTGCGCATGTCTGTGTATATATGTATTTTGATACAAAGAACAGAGATTGCGCTTAAAATG